GCTGGAACTCAGAACCCATCTCTTTGAACACCAAAACGTTATCCATTAAACCACTGGGGTATGATAGACACCTCTTGTGCAATGAGTATCAGTTTTTGTTATGATACTTGTAATTTCCCGTTGCTACACAGAGCCGAATTGCTCGACCTCTGGTGTTGGGAAACGGGCTTCCATGTGTTTGTCTCGATACTGCCGGATATTTATGATGCTAGATTCATTTTGGTGACTGATACCATGAATATCCAGGAGTATGGAGGCGTCCGCATAGGCGCCTATCTGTTAACAGCATACGTTGAGCAATTCGACCCCGCAACAGTAAATTACAAGTATCATAACAACATGGCTTATTACAAATTTAAGTTATCAAACAAGATGTTGTAATAATTTGAATGACCAGTGTTCAGTATAGAAGCAAACGAAGGGAATACAGAGAATTCATAAAAATGTATCCATTAAACAGTTATCAGTTGTTGCTAAAACAAAACATCATCCATAACTAGTAAAATCCTCCAAGAATGAAGAACGATTAAGAAATATTAATGAGTATGAGGATTATCAAAATACTTCAGTGTTGCTTTAAATATCACTCCATGATACAACCAGTCAGCGACTGATAGTTGCTCTTAATTAAAGAAAGGTCGTTCTTCTTCCCTATTTTTTCATAACATATAACTTCTTGTGAATATCATTCCGAGGATTCTCATAACCTTATCTTTTGACTTATACCTCCATCAGTCTATACCATTTGTCCTGTTATATGGGTGCAATATTTCACGTCAGGATTGTGCTGATCATATCAAATCGTCGTCTTATCCAAGTTATACTTTAAAGACTGCTTGCAATAGACAAACCAGTAAAATGGGTTGGTCAGTCACCATCTACGGTGATACTTATGATTTGTTTTGTTGTGAGTAGAAATTTTTCTCATAGTTTACGAAGCTAGGTCAATTTACGAAAAAAATTCAAGCAGTGGTTGAATGTCAATTTGAAGAATATAAAAACCTATGCGCAACAATGGTTCAATGTTCTATGTGTCCTTATTGTAATTACTGCAATCACGTCTTACATAAAAGTGGAAGTTTAGACTTAGTTTATGTGCACTTACACATGAATTTTATGCTATTTTATCCTTTTTGAAGTCATTTGAACTTGCTAAACTGATAACATCGACAAACTGAAGAGGGTGGATTTCAGTCTAAGTAAGTAATTTACAGACCTTTAGAGCAATGACTAGGGGTCAATTAGCTACTGAACCCAGCAGGTTTTACGTACCATTTAACTTCGGATTTGTGCAGGCAGTTATGGCAATATCTAATGTAACTCTGAGGTGTGCGATGAAATGGTGGAACAATTTATTATAACCACAAAGATTTTAGAATCAAAGCTTAAAGTTAGAAGACATAAGATGATGATATACTGCGTCGTTTAACCATCCATACTACTTTCGCAGTATTTCATAGGCTTGGTCGGATGCATACGTGTATACAACTGTAAGTTAGGCATGACAATAATCTGGGCTGACATTTACCTAACAAGTCAGTAAGCCATTCAGTGGATAGGATTTTGTTTGGATAGACTTGATTAAACTATCTATCAAACGCCTAAACCGCTTGAGGGATATTACTTTTCTGATTCTAGTGCCAACCAATCAAGTTTTATACAAGTCAGTGTATGTCACCCTAGTGCATCATATGTACAGTCAAGTTGAATGAAAAACGGAAAATATCCTCCCATCAGAGAACACTGTGATGACGATTATCTCCATCATAATCTCACATTATGTACGGAAAAACTGTGAGTCATTGGTAAAAAATTTACCAGGCTCGACCGGTTTTGCATTAAAGAATGCCTGATTCTCACATCAAGCAGATACTATACACAAAAAATAATTCGTATTTCTCAGAGGAAATACTGTACTTTTTTGATCTTGATAAGATCTTTCAGTGTGACCATCTGAAGCAGTAACAGCTATTGGCTGATTGTAACTGTATCACTGTACAATATGGTTGAACACAATGTACTTGTTGAGCCGCTGGGTCACTTTTTCCCTTCCAGATTCTTATGGTGCTCAATGAACTCAATCAGGTCTACGCACACCCTGCAACAATGTACGGATCTATAAGCTAGACGAAAACCTATCAACATCTGGTTGTTACAACATTATGGGATACTAAGCGCATTACGCTGCAGCATTTGTTATAAAGTAAATACTTTTAAATGAAAAATAAAAGTAATCTAAAACAAGTGGTCCTATTATCTAACGTAAAGGTTTAAAGGTTAACAACAGAAAAAACCGTAAGGGTTGTTGATTAAGTGTTACAAGTATTTCTGCTTGTTTCCATCCTAACATTTAATCCTTCACACAGGAAAACGGTTCTGTTAGGTAACTAAGTTATTACTTTTGACTTTGCAAGAATAAATCCCCAGTGGTTAGTGTGACTATCTGAAATAGTTGTGGATTGGCAGAGCTTTATTATTGATACTGGGTAATTATCAAGGGTGCAGTTAAAATCTAGGCTGTGGTAAGATTTGAACCAGAGGTGATGGGTCCAGATTTTGATTTCACCTTAAATACCTAATTACTTGCGCACAGTCTTCCTTAAAAATACATGTGGAAAGCGGGTGGGTAACCAACCCTGAAAGTATATTTTCATGATTGGAAAAGTTTTCAGTTCACAAAAGGTATCACTTTATTTAACATATATCTATGGAATGCTCGTTACAAAATAATAGGCACTGCAATCCACTGCGATGCCAAAAACGTCCAGTTTTCTGTATTTATATATTTATATAAGCTGCCGCGAACGTTGACTAACAATACTTCATAAGATCATCTTAAGATGTAAGATTTCACACGATCACTTACGTAAGCAACTATTCAGCACGTGAAATTACACTTCTTGTTTTAAATAAAAACCTGTGTACCAGTGTTTCTGAAGTCATAATTACTCGGAATTTACTCTTTACATCACATAAATCCCTGTTCAGTTGATTGTGTCAGTTTAAAGTCAATGCTAAGATTACCGGAGATCTGCAGATATGAATTTTAATGCAGTGGAACACAAAATGATACGGAAAATGAGTAAAGCCTGTTGTGTGACAGCTGGTGATACCACAAGACTGTCCAGCCTAAACCGAACGGCGCGACATTTTAGCTCTTAATCTCTTGTTTTAAAGTAAACAGCTTAAATATGTGAATGATACCTACTAAATAGGTAATATAGGTTTATTCCTGAGAAATGGGAGAAATAAATGTCAGATAGCTACTAATCTCTCCTCATTTGGGGTAACCTATATGAGGAAGGTATTGCTAAGAAGGTGATTTGTCGTCAAAACAGTATTCGTATTCTATTTATCTCTCGAAACATTGAAATCGTCTTGTTACTTGGTTTTTAGATATAACCTGAACTTTCTATCACAGTCAACTGTAATTGAGATGGCATCATTTAAAAATTTATCGGTCACTTAAATGATGAACGAAAGCATTGTGAAGTGTAACAGTAGTGACGTTTATTACACTCAGTACAGCCATAAAGGTGATGCAACCAAAGTGGTTGCTAGTGAAACATTTAGCTGTACTGAGAATGACGATTAAACAGGTACAATCACTAACTAGCGTCATTTTATACCCTAAAATTGGTTATCATTATTACATACTGGATATTTTGGATAATAATCTTCAAGCAACTCTATCTGGTATCGTCTAACTGATTAGTATTGTTTTTCTTAGGAGAATAAGACACTGGTAAGCTGGCTAACTATGAGTGTTGTGGTGTTCTCATAAAGTAAAGGATTATCAACGTGGGCGTCAACTTGAAAACAATTCACTGTTTATTGTATTAAAACTGTTCTATTATTAGAGTGTAACTGACACCTTCAACCGTAGATGTAGCAAAAGACTTAACAGTGACCTATGTTTAACCATCGACCAAAATAATATTTAAGGATTTTATTCATGACAAACGAGTGTTTGAATCAAATTTTAGTTTAGGAAGAAAAATACTCAGACAGCATGTGACAAGGAGAAGAAGAATTTAAACACCATAAGGTAACGCACGAGCCATTAGTCTGGAAGCAAAGCTTTTCGATGTGGCTAATTTGCATCAGACGCCCATAGGGCACACAGATGGCAACACTACGATATTGGCGGAACTCCTCTATCCTCAACGCTGACCCCAAATGATCTAGGATTCACAGTGAGTTGTGACTTGAAAATCACGACAGACTATCGATTACTTACAGCTCGGAGTTCTAGGATATTATGGGTATTATGCAGAACGCTTACAAAAATAAGCGGTAATGTTCACCATCTTATACAAATCCTTGGTTAGGTTTAAACTGGAAAACTGTATACAGGCCACGAATGCTTGTTTGAGAGGTGACTCAGACTTTTGGAAAGAGTTCAGAGAGCAGACATTCATATGATCCCTGCGATGGCGAGCCTGACCTACGAAGATCGACTTGATGAACTGAACGACTTCTCTTTACCCTATCGCAGACAGGTGGAGGATCTAGTCATGCTATACAGGATTCTAAGAGATAACTCTAGACCTGATCTATCTTCTTTTTTCTTCGCACTAGGTCAGGAAACCTCAGAGGACGTAGCTAGAAAATACAAATCAAAGAACGAACGAGGTTTCTGCAGAGTATTGGTCCTTGCGTCTAGTAATCAATTCTTGGAACCAACTCTGAGCAGGAGTGGTGTCCACATCATTAACTGACTCGTTCAAAAGACGACTAGACAAGGGCAGAGATCTCCTGGAAAAGGATTAATATAGGCTTGTAGCCTTCTATCCACAAACAACAAATCTGAATCTAAAATCACTAGGTATCAGCTTGGACACTAAGCCAATGAAGACTAACTTAGGACAACTAACAACGATTTTTCAATGTTCTCGATTTGAAAAAATCAACGGATTGTTGATGATTTATCTAATACATATGTCTCACGCAAAACATTGGTTTTTTGGAAAAAACTTGTCATATACTTTAAAACCAACCTGAGTTGCTCTTTGGCTTGTTCAGTAGTCTTTTGTAATATAGCCTGTGCACCTTTCAGAACTTCCATCTCTTTAATAAGTTCTTTTGAGCGTCATCATGAACAAGATCGATCCCAGTTCTTTTCTCGCTGTTAAGGTTCATGAAAGAGATTTATCAGACTGACTCACCGACTTAACAAACACTGTTGAGCAATGTGAAGAGGTTCTCCTGTAGCCTCAAGGGTTTTTTTCAATCTGATAAAATATTCGTCTAATATTTCAGTTTCCTCTGTTACATCTTGCAACTTTTTGTTAACTTCAGACTTCCAGTACTGAATGTCTTTTATTCTCTGATCTACCGATGTGAAAAACGCATCAATAAGAGCTCACCAAATTTCTTTTCTACATCTTTCAGTGTTTTTTCAGTTCGTTTAGCAGTCTCTTCAATGAACCTATCACATTCATTTTGAAGTCCTTGTGATATTTCCCTTTCTTTCTCTGCGCTACGATATTTTAGGTTGTTGCTATATGTCCACTGTTCATGAGTAAATCTCTGAGGGTGTCTGACTAGTCCAGCCATGATCTGAAGGACAAAAAAGAGTAACTCGACTTTTTAAAAGATTGCGCTTTCAGTTGTCATGACAATATACAGAAACATTGTTACATTTTAAAATCTTTTACAGTTATGGTCAAAGTATACGCTGAAATGTTATTGTGGCAGAATAATATGTCTGAATTTCAAAACCTTTGTCTTATGGATTAAAAAGCGCCATTTCAAATTGTTGCAGATATGAACGCGGAAGCTGATCCTAATCTCATAGTTATTCAGTCTTACGACAAATTTTGCACACAAATTATTGATAAATCATCAAGTGCTCATGTCTACTCATTTCAAGGGGATAAAAATGAATGGGTAAGCACTATTTGTCTAGTTACTACGCGGAAAAATATAAATCATAATTTCTTTCGCGTGCCATGCCTAACATGTTTGACCACTGCTAATGTTTATTTGACATATGGTCTCATCTAGCTGAGCGTTGGAGCCAAATTTCCATTTACTAGCTGTGTTTTTAACCTTGCATTTCTTAGTAGCGAAAAACGCTATCTGTAAGTGTTCACTCCTTTTCGACAGGCTAGCATTCTTTTTACCAGTTTCACACCGCCACTTCGGCCCCAAATGGCTTTGGGAGTGGAAGTTACTGCGAGAGCTGTTGCTTAGTGATTTCAACTGGTTTTCCAAGCTAATGGCTTAACATTTCAGTATCAGAGGTATTTATCACCACTATTATTATTATATTCCCTTGGGTTCTCAGTAAAACATAGGACTTCAGTAGTATGCCTCCATTCCAATCTATTCTCTGCAGTCTTTTGAACCTTGCTCCACGACTGCCCACAAGCTTTCATTTCTTCACATGATCTCTTACATGTTATCCTCGCCTCAGACTTGACGTTTCCCCTTTGGATTCCTCTCTACGGCCCGGCCTAGCGTGTGATGTCCCCAAATGGTTTCCTCAGTGTATGCCCAGTCCAATCCATTTCCACCTTCTGCATATTTGCTGGGTGACTGGTTCTTAGTTGGTTCGTTATGAGGCCACATTTCCTTGTTGCTTATTCTTATTATTCTGACAATCTGATCTTCAGTATTGAGTGAGTGTAGGTGGCAGCTGTTGACGATGAATCTCTGTAGTTTGTTGGAAACGCTTTTCGTGACACGCCAAGTTTCTGAACCATATAGAAGCACTGACTTGACATTGTTGTCGAAAATCCGGATCTTGTTCTTTGTGCTGAGTGCAGTGGATCTCCACACTGATTTCAGATTCGTAAAAGCCTGTCATGCTTTTCCGATCCTGGTTTTGACATCCTCGCCTGTGACGCCTGTAATCGAAACAGTACTGCCCAGGTAGGTGAGAGAGACTACTTTCTTTAGGTTTCTCCTGTTAGTGGTGATTGGTGCTCGTTGTCGATGCTGTTGTTGGTTGGGTATCTTCATCACCCCTGTCTTCCCTACATTCATTTGAAGTTCGTTCTCCACAGCCCTACCCCTCCTGTCAACTTGTTGATTTTCACCTGTAGATCTTTGGGTTTGTACGACAAGACATTAGACAGAAATCATCATCGTTGGCGAAATTCAAATCTTCCGAGGTCTTCCCGTGCGACAAACAGCGTGTACCCCCCTTCTCGCTCTTCACAATTTGTTATATGATCCAGTCCACCACAATCAAGAAGATCATCAGTTATAGTAGATGGCAGCCTTGTCTTACTCGTGTCTTAACTTCAAAGGCGTCACTGAGCTTTCCATTGTGGATCACTTGGCATGTGGCGTTTTGATATAGCTGTTGAATGAGGTTGATAAAGATTCGTGGCACTAAAACCGTAGTGTTGAGGCAGCTGCCTGCCAAATTACTTCTCAGTCGACGCTGTCGAAGGCTTTTTGGAAATTAATGAAGTTGAGGTAGAGTTGATTTGACTGCCATTCTCCACTCAGTTCTATGTTGATCTGTAGTGTCGCAATTTGATCCGCACATGATTTGTTTTTCCTGAAGCCAGCCAGCCAGCCAGTTCCGGTCGTAATTTTGAATCCAGCGCATCTTTTAGTCTCTCCAGGATGACGCGGCATAATATTTTGCTTGGGGCGGACAGGGGTGGAGCATGATTCCTCTCCAGCTCTTGCAAAAACTTAGGTCTCCCATCTTTGGCATTTTGACAAGATAGCTCTTCTTCCAATCTCCAGGTACCTTTCCTTAATTCCAAACCTTCTGCAGTAGTGGTGTGAGCGTCCGTTTTCAGTGCTTTTTGTGGGATTGCATCTGGTCCTGCTGCTTTCCCAAATTTCAGCAGTTTTATGGCATTCAGGACCTGCTATTGTCAGGGGGCATGAGTTCTGTGGCTGGACTGCAGGTGGTATTTCTGAACGAGTTGCAGGCGGTGGTGTTGGTGGTCGATTCGAAGTGGTCAGCCCATTGTTTCCTTTGTTTCTCCTCTTTGCTAACTAGGTTTCTTTCACTATCTTTTATTGATTTCGTCTAAGTTGGTCTCTTCCCGGATAGGAACCTGGTTATTTGATATAATGTTGTCGGGTCTCTCCTACCTGCAGCTTGTTGTGCTTCACTTGCCAGTGCGTCGTAGAAGTGTCTTTTGTCTTTCCGTGCACTATTCTTCACTTCTTTGTCCAGTGTTTTGTACGTTGTACTCAGTTCTTCTTTTCGTTGCTCATCCTTGCACTGGTTTGTGTTCTGCTTCACCATCTTCTCCCTTCTTTATCAGCTTCCATGTATCCGTCGAGATCCATTCCTTGTCTTGTTTCCTTTTCCTTCTTAGTGTGGTTATGCAGGTTTCTTTCCACATCCCTTTCAAAGAGTTCCAGTGTCTTTCCACGCAGGTTTTCTCGGAATGTTGCTCAATGTCTCCCATTTCGTCCTGATGGTTGACGTGAAGATGTTTTTCGTACTTTCGTCCTCAGTCTCTGTTCTGGGTGTTGAACTTCTGTGAAGACTTTCAACTTGATTTTGAAGGTAGGTTCCTTGCACTGGATAGTGAGTGGTGTGGATCTACATCTGCCCCCCTTCTTCATCTTGTGTCCAGTAGGCTGCGTCCTCACTTTCTTGAGATTGAGATAAAGTCGATCTGATTTTTAGTGTGTCCGGGTGTATGGTGAAATCCATATTGCTTTGTGAATATCCTTGTGTTTGTACACACTGCCTCCAATCACCAAATCGTTGAATGCGCAGAAGTCTGCAAACAGTTCTCCATTCTCATTCATTTCACCAAGTGCTTCTCTACCCATGGTTAGTTCTCTTCCTGTGTTGTCTGCTCGCACTTTGGCATTCATGTCACCCATTAGGATTTCGATGTCGCCGTCTGGGTCTTGTCGATTACTGATTGTAGTTGTCTGTATAATTCCTCCTTCTCTTGATCTGCAATATTTGTTGGCACGTGTGCTCGTGGTTGTCTTCTGGGTGACCGGAGTAGATTATTGACTCTCCAGTTAACAGTTTGGAGAGTTGACTTCTATTCCATCTGCTTCTGCAGATTCCTAGCACTTCAGTGCTGCCAGTATTTATTTTCCATAAAATGCTCAATGACGAAACCATTTTAGCAGAAAGGAGTCGTTTTATATACGGTTCTCATATGCTGTAAGCTGCCATAAAATGCTATTCTTCTGAGTAATGATGGACACTGCATTTTGGGTTCAAAGTTTTGCCGTTTCCTAGCCTTATATAAAGGAAGCAATTAGTCTTTAAGGACCCATCTCAAAATGAGTAAACTATACCGATTCTTAAGCTTTGATATATATATATATATATATATATATATATATATATATATATATATATATATATATTCAAACATTTATCGAAATAATAGGTTCATAAGGAGGTGCACTGGACGGTGATGTCAGTTTCAATTGCTTGGACTGATTTTGGCCCACCTTTCGCTTTTCCATTCACTGATCAATTATGTATGAGGTAGCAGAGCAGTAAGTTAGGAAAGCTTTCCTTGTAATGAAGTTGAAACGTGTTATTTGAAAGGGAGTATAGCCTTACCATGAATTAGTACTTTAGCTTTTACTGTGCAGTAATGCAACAGAAGCTCTGGTTTCCAGCATGTTTTCTAGCTTTAAGTTTGATAGGTCTACCCTATTTAAGCGTGTGTTTCTGTTTTCCATGGGTTAGTCAGACCTTACTTCGGTTTCAAGTTTGACTGAATCTATTATTGCTAAGGTTTTCATGGTTTTTCAGGTTTTTTAAAGTATTCGTGTCGGTCAACTTCCCATTGTTACGACAATGGGCACCAACAGCATATGTGTAGGAGGCAGGGCTGCTGTCAACCTGTTCAGACGGTGATACCTGCGATGGATGGTTTCCTAAGGCTTTCCCCGACCTAACGCAGACTGAATACACTAAGCTTAGCGAGTCTGGTCGCAAGTGGCATGATGCTTGTGTAGACCTGAGGTGAAAGATGCTCTTGTGAACATCACTATATTAACGGGTATAAAAAAAGCTGATAATAAACCAAAGAAGGTGACAGGGAGGCTGGTGAACTTTAAATCAGTGTCTAGATCTGAGGGCTTTGGAGTTCGGAGCTCGACTAACGGAAAAATGCTCAGTAGCAAGGAACCGGTTTGACGGAAGACATGATACATCTCAGTGGTGCAATAACACCTTTCTTATAATCCTTCAGTAGAGTTTTTTCGTTAGCAGATGAGACAAAAAATGCAATGATCACGCCGAGCAAGGATGTTCAGGTTGGAGTGCGGACATCAGTTGTACGAAATTGGAACAGTCGGTTTTCAACTCGTCGAACCCATCGGGTTTGAGAAGGCAGAAAGTGCGGGTAACAAGCTCGAACAGGGTAATATAGAAATGAGGAAAGATAAAACTAAGTCTGCAAGGAAAGTGAACGACCAGCAAACCGAGCAAGTCACTCACAAGCGTGTCAAACAAGCGACTGAGTTATGAAAGAGGCCACAGTGGAAGAGTAAGTGAAAGTCCAACAAAAAACACCTAAGCATCTACAGTTGTTAAAAAAACCCATTGTCCTGAGTGATTCTTTGATTTTCATGAACCTGATAGATAGCTCTGATCTCCCATACAACCTTCAGGATAAGAATAGTAGGATTATTTGGGAAAATGTGCAGAAAACTTAATCTGGATCACACTAGGCCAATGGCTGCAACTACGCTGTCACATGATCCCGACCCAATAATTAAGGATGAGCCCTGACTCTTAAGGCTAACATTCTCCGGTTCAGATGATGTTGAGGATGTGCTGTTAGCATCTTACATGCTCAAAGATGAAGGGGAAGTGAGGTTACTACCAGACATCCCACACTCTGAGAGAATGGCCATAAAGACTCGGGCAAAAATCGCGAGGCAAACTTTAGCGGATGGAACCTGTTAATACAAGGCATACCTGGAGACCCAGGCACCAGGATATTTACCGCGATTCCCGCGAGTGGAAGTTCCTTAAGAATACTATAAATCTCAAGGGAATACAGCGTCTCACGGATGCTCATAAAAGATAATGACCCCAGACCAAGGTTGATCGAAGTGGTCTTTCCGGCCTCTAAAAATGGCAGCATTCACACTAAAGGCATTCTGAGTGCACAAACCACCTGTCACGTGGAGTCCGCATGCAGCCTGATAGGTCGCAACGAAAACGAAAAATTAGAGTTGGTTATACTTCTGGAAGACTATTGGGATACAAAAAGCGAGGGAGGGGCGGGGAACAATACACTTGTAAGCAGCACTTAGGCGGGGTCCCAACTCCCATGCCTGAGGATTTAGCCAGCCAACTGGGCAATGAAGAGGGTTCAGGAAGTGCGTCCTAAGTAAACAGCATAAGCTGCATCTATCAAATGCTTATCTTGTAGGTTTTACTGAGATATGGGTTTCTCCTGATATGTCGGATCAGGAGCTGGGAGTTGTTAACACCATGCTCCTTTGCAAAGACAAGAAGGCTGGTAAGTGGGTGCGGGTAGTGCTTTACGTTAGCTCTTCTTCCACAGCTCACTGAATCAACATTCAAGAATTGGAGTGCATTGAAAAGTTCATCTGGTGCTTCATAAGACTGTTCAAGACTACAGAGTGCTTGATGGGAGTTATTTATGGAAGCCACCTGCTTGAAGTACAGTATGATCAGATGCTAAAGGCAATCGGCTGCTCTCCTAAGCTGGGGAGCACATGCTAATTCTAGTAGGCTTTAACCTACCGAAGGCTAACTTTTCAGATCATATGTTTAGAGACAATAGTGATTCCATTGAAGCACGATTCTTCAATGTGATTGAGGAACTGAGGCTTACGGAAAATGTGAGAACTGTAACGCGATCGAAAGGAACTCGAACTCCATCCCACTCAAACTGCATCTTTACAAACAAAGAATTCTTGGTCGGCAACCTAGCAATCCTTTTTCTTTTGGGCAGGAGTGACTACGTTGCCCTCAGCTTCCAGTATGTCTGCGAAACCAATCTAGTCGATCTTTCATTGTGTCGTTGGAACTTCAAACGACTTAACACTCCGGCTCCTTAGATAGCGCTGAAACAGACAGATTGGTAAGTTGACCATATGCAGCAGTATGTTAACACCCATTGGAGATTTGTAATTGTCAAAATCATGCATGCAGTTAGTCAGTCTGTTCCACTTTCAACACCGATGTACTCCAATCCGCCTAAGGTAGTAAGAAACTACGATTGCAAATTACTTAGTTAAAGGGACACCACTGGGCCGATTACAAAAGGATTGGGACCGAATACACTTACAAACTATTCAAACAGACAGGGAACACATGTAAGAAGGCAGTAAGAACTGATAGGAGACGACATCAAGTTAGGCTTACAAATGCGTTTGTTTCTAACCTGAGAGGTCTGTTCCGCTGTGCTGCATCGTTCTGTCAGGCTAAGGCGGGAGTCTCTCAACTATTAGGTACCAATGGACTGACTAGTAGCCACACTGAAGCAGCCGTGCTCCTATTTAAGCAGTATTCACGAGTCTTTTCTTCGCCATTCACCTGCTCAAGGAGTTTACGAATATCCCACTGACGAAGTAGGACTCTCGAATGTTGACTTTGGCTTTGATCCAGTACAGCGCAAACTGTTACTTTTCACAAGAGGAGACTCCTCTCCGGGACCAGATAAAATTCATGCGGCGGTACTATGAGAAAGAGCATCAGTCTTGGCTTGACCTTACTTAAGTAAGTTATTTAGTGATTATCCAAGTCAAAGGAAAGTACCCGATCCTCGAAAGCTCGGCCACATAACGCCAATCTTCAGAGGAGGTCAACGAAGCAACCCGAAGAAATACAGACCGACCACTCTCTAGTCCATACCTCCCAAAGTAATCGAATCGTTAATCTATAATGGATTGAAGGATCACCTTATAACGACCAACTTCTTTACACCTTGACAATATGGATTTAGAAAAGGGTACTCCTGCATTACTAATCTGCTCACTGCAGTATTTTCGACTGTCGGGGTCGGGTTGATGTTATTTATCTAGACTTTGGTAAGGCACTTGATCGTGTTAGTGACAACTGCCTTACTGATAAATTAAAATTAATCGGGATAAGGCCACCGCTCATCGACTCATTGTTCCCATATCTACAAAGTCAGTTAGTTCGACTGAGCTTATCTGTCTAAAGAAACAGAATGTTCTAGTGTTCCCTAGAGTTCATTACTAGGGCCTCTTCTTTTTTTAATATACATAAACTACTTGTCTCAATAGGTTTCTTTCAAAATCCTTTTTGCCGATGATTTGGAACTACGGAGACAAATCGAAAGTAGGGAAGACATTGTTTTTCTACAAGGGTACTTCATCCAACCTCAGAACTTACCAGTCAGTAATGGGTTCGCATTTAATGCTGAAAAATGCAAGGTTGTGCACATAAAACATGATGCGTGTTATGTATCTACCCTCGATGGCATAGAACTTGAAGCGTCTCAGACAGCGAAGGATTTGGGCGTTTTTATTTCTCAAGACTGAAGGTCCTATGCCAACTGTGACTGCAGCACATTTCGTGGAAACTTGGCGTTAATAACCCTTAGACAGATTTTCAGACAATTCGATCATAGATGTTTTCACCAAGTTTTCAACAGCTTCATACGACCTCGCGTGGAGTTCGGGACTATTGTCTTCCCCCCTTCTCTGCTGAACAAATTAAGCTTAGAACTCATCCAGAGGTGCTCGATCATATCTGTTTGAGAAATTAGGTCTAAAACATTAAGAACGACTGGCTGCGCTTGATCCATATCCTCTGGAATAAAGAAGACTAACTGAAGACTTGATATTGACCCACATCTTGAGCAACTCTGAACACCCACTCTGTCACTTACTGAATTTCAGTTGTAGCACCAGTCTTAGATACATACAGAAACTAAGCCTAGAATATACCAGGTTAGATATCAGACACAACTTCTATTCCCCAAGAGTTGTTAAACCCAGGAAAGCTCTTCTCTCGGAAGTTATCCAGGCTACTTCGTCTGAATCCTTTGAAAGCTGGTTTGATACTTAAAATTTGGATGGGATCTGGTTAGAACTAACTGAATTTTCAAATTTAACCGCTATCTTTTGCTCTTTTTTCAATTTTACACATGTTAACAACTACAAGAAGTGATTTATAGATTCTAGACACGGAAGCCAGTTAAATAAAGCTTCTATTCCGTGAACAACCATTTGAGCCACTTAGTTACTGAGTGGGGTTCTATAACTATCGAAAATCATTGGTTAGAGAATTTAGATAGAATGACCTGGATGCATTCAAGCATTATCTAGCCTTTATTGTGTCATATTCTACTTGTTACCCAGTAGGATCTTTTTGGATTTTGTTACTTTCTTTGTCTGCATCTTTAGAGTGCCATTCACTCTAAGTTTTATCATCATAATTTTCTGTGTCAGTTCAAAATGTAAGCCTGTTGTAAGACTCACAAGACCGTTGACCTAATTTTTAGAACTATTATTGATTAGGGCAAGAATAACTTTCAGCCAGCGGGTTACGATTTTGAACCTTTTTCCATATGCTTAGTTTCAGGCGACCAAGCGAAATCGCTAAACCTACATACAAGTATGGCTCATAGCCTAGCAGATAATGTATCCTGGATCATTGTGTTGGTTCACTAAGTCAATTTTGTCTCCGGATTGTTGGGACCAATAATAGTTCGCTGTTTATGGAAACAGAAGACACCTACTTTCTGTCTCTCTTCGTATCAACTTATAGCACACGAATTCAGTACTCTCTGGTTTTAGTTTCAACACTTTATTTGGATACATAAATTATGTAACTGTATTCACTAGTCACGTAGCTCAGCCTAATGACTGTATTACAATCCCATCGTTTATGGAAAAGCAATAGGCTGGTTGCATCTCACTGGCTACCTAAGGCGTATGGAGGCTAGATGTATTTGTTTTTGTGATTTCTGTACCAAATATCTCCCTTCCTAAATGATATGGACAGTTTATCAATACTTCAGCAGTTATTTCTATAAGTTTATATGGTGCAGCTTAACTACTTGGTTAGTCTGTAAATTCAGGTTTATATACTAAACTGTAACTCATACCTATGATTCGGGAGCTCATGAGACTTCCTGTTTGTTGTAGTAGATGCATGTAAACTCGGAATAACTCGTTACAACCCCATTTTCATATCTATTGTTGGTGATGTTCTATCTGATGTACTGTTTTCCGCCATGACTAACTAGCTAACTGATAGAGTTTAGCGATACCTTTAATAGAAGGTTATGCAATATTAGATGGTGCATCGTTTTTTTATAACAGGAATTTTCGTCTTTCATTTTAGGCTAAAACGGAAACAGGTGGTATTTTCTTCCTATACAAGCGGTAAGATTTAGAAGCTAAATATCAATGCATTTCTTTTAGATCTAAAGTTCCGTTTTTCGCCTTCATGATTCTAAATCGTAAGAGTCCAACAATGAACCCAATCGAGCTAGTGACCTCAGGCTTACAGCTTCAGTTACATTGCCCTTTTCTTCTATATAAAACACCAAAAGGTGAGTGTGTTTATTAACCCTTATATCATTATAGGCGAGATTTTTTCCATATGGTTTTTTTCTGCCTCAGATTGTGAACGCATTGCGGAGAAACTAGGCAAGTAAGTACACACATTTTATCGATGTACACGTGCTCTATATACGAATTATTGAGTCAGTTGCTGATCATTTGAATACTAAACTTGGTTGCACATTAGATATCATACGTTTCTGATCTTGTTGATTCATCACACTTGAAGAATGATGTATGGGTATAAGAATACAGAACTTTTTGCCACTTAGTTGAGGTGTATTTCTTATAAATTGTTGCGTGCAATTAATGTGGCTGACATACCTATAATGTATTTATTTGAGCGTACAACTATGGCAATCTAAGGAATTCGCACCGATGAGTATAGCTGATTAGATAGGCAGACATGAATCAAAATATAATTTAGTTTCGTCAGCATTTTTCGTAATTCATTCCATAATTGTTAATTTTCACCAAATTAATTGCTTAATAGCGCGCGAATTGGTTGTTTGTTTTGTTGACGAAATCTCAGGTTAGATACGAATCTCCCATTAGGCATTCACAATTTTATATTATCTCTGGCACCGGAAAGATATCCGACTACCTATTTAAGGACGAGTATACTATGCCGGAGTTCGCTGTGTCTTGTTTTAGAACTTGGCCGTAAAAGGTGTGAACAGGTTTCACGTCCTTAGTCACAAGTGTCTTTATAGCATTTGTCGCGTGTGATAGAATCGCTATGTAGGCATTGTCGAGGTTCAGGAAAGGGTATTAGGTAAGGAAGGCAAGTCAGTCGATAAAAACAGAGATTGTGCATGCTCTGACCTCATCTACCCCAAATTGTGATGTTGGCTGAAGTAGGATTAGGTTGCAAGATGGTCGAACCAAGAAGTCGCACCAGTTCGTAATGCTTTTTACTGTCTGAGCCGCATAGTTAGTGTAGCCTACCTAACTTTGTTCTTCAAGATAATGAGAATAAATGGTTGGAGATAACGAGATACAGCTCCAAATCAATCACAGTGACTTGGAAGTATCCACTCCTTGTCATTTTAGAAGTTTTAAATGTTTTCATCTATTTACTCGTCCAACTCACTTTTGCTAACCTTAACATTACCTTTTCTATCCACAACTCAGATGTAGACTGGAAAAATGTCTACGCAATGGCCAAGGACATTGGTGGGCAGCGAAGACTTAAGAAAAGGGGAAGGCAGCGGCGATAGTTAACAGTAGACAATTATTTAGACTTATTAAGGAAACGGGAGGAAAAGTCAACGGTTACTGAAACTATAGCGGTGGAGGATGGGTCTGCGATTCACTCACAAAGGAGACGGCTGGACAGTCGAATCCTAAATGGAACATTAAGATACGCCACGCCAACACTGGCAGAAGTCCAGAAAGCTGTAGGTTACTTGAAATGAGGAAGGGTAGCAGGTCCAGACAGACTAGTTACTGAGGTATATAAAAACGGTGGCAGAGTGATTTTAGTCAAGTTAATTGAAATATTAACCAGTGTGTGGAAGTCAGATACGATCCCCTCTGACTGGTCTCAGTCACTGGTTATCCTAGTCTTCAAGAAAGGTGAGAAGTCTTGTAATAACCACAGAGGGATCAGACTGACGAACATAGTGTCTAAGATTCTAGTTTCTATAATCATTAGATACCTGAACACGGAAACAGCAAGCTCAAGAAAGCCAGGGAGGCTTCAGACCTAGCCATAGGTGTGTCTACCAGATTATGCACACACCTCCAGGCTCTGAAACACACACAGACGCCCGACACTAGCTGTATTTCTCTGTACGAAGGAGGAATTTGACTCTTTTGGTCGAGAGTCTTATGGCCATGTCTCTCAGTGAAAGAGGTATCGAATAGATGTATCACTATTAAGGGCTGTTTAGTCGAAGACCAGTGTGGGTGTTAGGACCTATGGTGAGTTGTCAAGTAATCTGTGTACATCAAGTAGTGTTGGTCGAGGATGGTCACTCTCCATTCTTTTTCGACCTGGTCTTCAGCAGTATCTTGGCTAACAATGGAGAGTGAATTGTTCGAGTGCGTTGACTAGTTCACGTACCTGAGAAGTGAGATCAGCTGTGGTGGGTCGGTGGTTGACGAAATCTCTGCGCGGATACAAAAGGTTCAATTGACTTTCGCGAACACAATCCACTCATGGCATTGCTGAGATGTTCGATTGTTTACTGAGTGTCGAGTGTACTGTGTTGAAGTTGGTTTTCTTCTTCTGTATGGCTGTGAAACGCGGCCATTAAAGGTAGAAGACATGAGAAGTCTCCATGTGTTCGACCGCCGTTGCCTTCGTGACATAGGCTGTATCACGGTGTGACCACTTGAGTAGCGGTGAAGTCAGGCGTATAGGTTTTTGGGGAAGAGGTGAGTTAGTTGATGCGTTTGTGAACCTTCATCTACTGAGATGACTGGGACATGCGTTATGCATATCTAGCCACTGTCTTCCTCGTTGCACAATGTTAGCCGAAGTGGGTTCAGGCTGAAAAAATGCTCTAAGGGGTCAGATTAAAATATCGCATTAATGCATGAAGTCTTTGACTATTCTTTCTAACCATGTAGGGTGATGCAGACTATCCGGTTGGGGTTCGCGGGACAAGATAAATCCGCGTTTGAAGATTCTAGGTGATATGGCTGAGAATCGATTCCAGTGGCTCTGATGCACACCCAATTATTCTAATCTTAACAGCTGTACTTAAACTCATCATTTTCGCGTTCGTCCATGCTCTCTTTTTCTACTTCCTGCTGCTTTTGATCGGTTTCTTTCTCTTTCTTCATCTCTCATCTTACTTCTTTGTTGCCTGTTTTGCTGATAGTAGGTGTGGCAACTTGGACCGTTACGCAGTAGTGTCTGGTCCTATGTTGATTTTGATTGCCTTCGTGAACTGTGATTTAAAATGCAGACTAGACTTTTAGTGTTTTAAAGCTATTGCTTGTTTCACGTAAAAATGCCTTTCTGAAGGTTTGTGTAGGTTAACTGTAAATGGTCCAGTGACTATGGACAAGCTGTTAAGCCGTTTTTTGCGTATCTGTCGTTCTAGTTTGATGTCATTGGGAGGAGCAAAGTGGGGTAGAAGAGAAAATCAAAGTTCTCACACTGATTTAGAAATCTGTGTACTTTGTCCATATTCTTTCAAGTCACTTAAGCAACCCAGACTATGGCATTGTTGGGTCATGTTTTGCTTTGTTCCGATCGCTTTACCTAGTGTTCATGTTTTGTCTATATCTCGATCCTTTATTTCCATTCTGGGAGGATTTCCTACCTGAGTGGCTCCACAGTTCTTTTTGGTTTTTAGGTAAGGATAAAAATGGATTATAAGGCTTAAGTAAAGAGTTGCATTATGCTGAGATCGCAAAGCGAAATTTCCTGTTATTGTCTGTATTATAATCGTTGTAGGTTTATATTTGTATCCAACATGTTCTCACCTGTCTTTGCTGATACAGATGTGCTTTTTAACTGACCATCACATTTTCATTTCGTTTATTAGACTTGTTCATGATGTTGGCGGTTTAGGATTAAGAATCGCTCCTAGTAGCCGATCTGTAAATACACTAGCAAAATCTTCTACTCCCGCTACAAGTTCATTGGCTACTACTCCCAAATCTCCTGAAACAGTTACTAAAGGACTAAATCAGTTAATGAATTTTGTACGTGCATCAAATGAAAACTCCAAGTTGAGTCCTTTACAACCATCTAGGTTTTTCGATAACAATGTCAACAGATCTAATCATTCAGAAGCACCAAGCATATTTGATATGCTGCATAAAGCAGAAGCTGATTTCAACTCGGGAGTTAGTACTGTGAGTTTAGCCTGTTGTCTGATTGATAATTTTGCAATAATTTCATGCTATACTTCATTATACCAGCACTGTCAGTTTTCGCTTATTCAAGACTGTATCTTCAAGGGGTTAAAGAGAGCAATAAAATATGAAGAAGCGGTGGGAATGATTTACTTTGAGTATTATTCTACGTGTTGATATTCGTGGTTTTTATTTCTTTGAAAAGAGCCCTGTAGGCTAACATTACAATGCCCAAGAATTTACTAACATTTACCCAGCTGAGCTGCAGAAAGTAAGAAAAGCACGGTTTTGACTCGTCATATTTTCTGTGTTTCTTCCCCCGAAACTTTATCCTGTTACCAAATATTGAGTTTCTAACAGTTTACCTCTCACAGGACCTTCTAAATGCACTATATCTGTGCTGTATCTAGTATAATCATAACTTGACTATCTAGGTTAGAGATATGGTGTCCGTAAGCAGTGTTCAGTTATGTGTATAAACCATAATTCTGTAAGGGCTTGTAATACTAATTAGCTGCGTAATTTTCAATATACTTTTATCTAAGATGAAACTGATGTTCATTTATATAAGTGAAAAACTTGGGTATTGTGGTAGGATGTAGTTCCATATTAGATTTGTTTATTTGATATAGATAGCGCACAGTGATGTAGTAGTAGTTACTTGGTGATATTTCGAGCATAAACTAATACTGCTCATAATCATATCAGTGTCATCATACTCCTTTCAATATCTGATTTTTAGAGTCCTGTCACCTAAGATTCTTTGTTTTTATTGGTAGTAAAGTTTTCCATATCTGTGGTATAGGTGTAGCGTCATTCCCTTTATTTGTGTTCGGTGTTGATTAGATGAACAAAGCTTCAGTAATCAACATCTCTCTCCACCTAACTAGATTGAATTTGAGTACAATGGTTTCATCCCACTGTACTCTGTGACTGTGTGTTAATGCATGCATTGCAGTAATCGAGTTTCTTCTAGATTATTGATGTTATTTGGGTCTGTCATTCTATATTTAGCTAAATTCCTATGTTTGGCTATTCTAACTGACCCCCGATCGGCAGTTTCACCTGTGTACTTGACGTCGCAGTTATCACATGGAATTTGATAGATTAGATTATTTTGGTTAATTGGTTCTATCGGATCCTTAAGCCAGCCGGGAAAGTTTCTCTTTGAGTGGGTATGTAGGTTTAAATGTCACCTTAATTCCAGCTTTGTTGACGATCGAACGTAAAGTTTTGTGATGTACCTTCTTTATGGGGTAACACAATGGAGGGAGTGAACACTTTTCTACTCGTGTTGTCGTTATTATTCAAACTTACGTTGTTGTTATTATTTGGTTTCTTGTGTGTTCGTAAGAATTTCTTAATAAATGGTAGAGGATAATTATTAACGCTTGTTTTATGTGCTTCAGTCCCTTGTTTAGGTCCTTTCATTGACTAGTGAGATTTTTATCGCTGTCATTTAGACATTGATTAACCCTCCCTTAACTGATACTGATGCTCAGTGATCTAGGGATTAAACTTCCATCAATGCCGAAAGCTATTCCTATTTACTGAGATTCATTTCATCTTTCACTTCATCATCGTAATTTACCAACCGTTTGATGTTGCTTAGTTAATTGTACTAAAGCTGGAAAAATTATATAAGTTGCATTGTGAATACTTTCTTTCCTATAATAATCAGCTCGGCAATAGATGAACATCATTTCAGTCGTGGAGATAAGATTGTAACAGTTTTTGATGTATGCATTCCAGTTTACTGATTTTTGAAGGGGAAAGATAATAGTCATCGAAGTATAATGCATTGGTGTATGCTGTGCGTTTTGAACTATTGGATCATAAGTTGTAACCCAGTTACACTTTTCAATGTTTTGCACACTCAAATAGCATCGTTAACTCATCACATTGCAGGTGTGGATTGTAGCCTATTACTTGAACCTGTATATAAGATTTAGAAGTGTTAGAATTAAATATGAGTTCAAGTTTACTTTCTGAGTACTCGAGTAACTTGAATATTGGTACCAGTATATTCTGATTCACATGTTGCAGTTAGAAACACACTGATACAATTCAGTAACCTCACCCTTTCATTGCCAAATAGTTGATGGATATACTACTGTGTTTGCCTAGTTTATTTATTTTTAGCTCATGCTAATTCTTCTAAATACTAGAATTCGATTCATGAAATACAAACTACCATAATGTCTACGAGTAACTAACAAATTAAGATATTACGGAATATAGTTATAACACACGGACTTTAACTTTTATAGGAAGAATGAGATGACAAAAAGTGTTTACTGTTAAGCTGTAAAAAATAGGGAAACAACTAGGTGTCAGCCCTCTTTTGCGATTATTTGACTAAACAGCATCCGTTGTTTGTTTCGAAAGCTATTGGTTGGCTGAATTAATCTGTATCAGTGCAAGAACTAATACTGGCTGGTAGGTAATCATTAAATTTACATCTTGCTGTTGATTTTCACATTTTCTTTCAATATTGGGGATGCTACTTGACTAAGAATACTCCATCGTGCAGTGATTTATTACTTATTTTCTTAACTGTTCGATTCTATACGTAATACTGTTTTTCGAAGGATATGTAGTCGATCGGCCTGGAAATTTGCAAGTCAGTTGTTACAATCAATACGGAATCAGCATCAGATGAATACGACACTAGATGACTTCTGCTCAGGATTGAAATCTGTTCACTGATAGCACTCAAATAATGACTTCCTCTGATGTCAAATCGGAGAGGTATTCAATGGCAGAATAACTGATCTACCAACTGAGTTACGTAGGCATATATTGCTTGAAATGAATTCCACTCACGTAAAGTATGACCTACATGACATTATAGTGGAGTATTTACTAGATAAAAAACAAGTAGTCAACGGAAACACGAATGTCACTAGGCAGACATTGAATTTTCACTATTACGTGTTAGGCGTTAGTTGTGTCAGTTGTACGACTTTTAGCTATAACAAAATTTAGATTTCCTATTCTAACAAAGACATCACCTGAACTAATGCTTTCTGACTGTAAACGAATCCTTCGCAATCATTTGCAGCAACGAATAAAGTTACACCAAGTCTTTTCTCGGATCGATCGTGTTCATCGCAATCTACCAAAAGCCACACTACGACTGCATCTACCATTCATGGCAGGAGTTGCAAGAATCAATGCAAGAAAACCTGGTCGGTGTTCACAAGTAATATGTGTATTCACTCACCTGCCTTGGCCCACTGGTCTACACACTTGTTTCGAACATTTCTGTCATAAATTTTCACAACGCGCTGTCTAGTCGGAGTCTGAATGGAACGGGCCTGTCCAAAAGATAATTAACGACTGTGGTCAACGACTTCTAGTCAAGTTAACTGAAGGTGTAACTAGTGTCCGACAGTCAGATACAATCCCCTGTTACTGGTCTCAATCACGGGTTATCCCAGTCTTCAAGAAAGGTGAGAAGTCCTCCTGTGATAACCGCAGACAAATCAGGTTGATGATTAAGGTATCTAAGATGCTAGGTCTTTAATGAAAGAACGTCTGAGTAGAGCTACGGGGCAGTAAGCCCGATAAAACCAGGGAGGCTTCAGACCTAGCCATAGGTGTGTCTACCAGATTACGCACACACCTCCAGGCTCTGAAATACACACAGACGCCCGACACTAGCTGTATTTCTCTGTACGAAGGAGGAATTTGACTCTTTTGGTCGAGGAGTCTTATGGCCATGTCTCTCAGTGAAAGAGGTATCGAATAGATGTATCACTATTAAGGGCTGTTTAGTCGAAGACCAGTGTGGGTGTTAGAACCTATGGTGAGTTGTCAAGTAATCTGTGTACATCAAGTAGTGTTGGTCGAGGATGGTCACTCTTCATTCATTTTCGACTTGGTGATAGACGTTCTTGTGCAAGTGTCTCCCTCTCGATATCTGAATAAACATTGATTGACCGTATCAAAGGAGAATTTTTGGCAGGCCTAGGATACGCAGACGATGTAGTCCTGTTAGGTGAAGACACTGACAAGATTCATAGTTTTCTGGACACTTTGAATGGTAGGTAGATAGATGAGTGTGTTTGATTTTCTTACTTGAATACCCTTTTACATATGAAAGCTCGTGGTGGTTACTAATTGAGTTGTTTACCTGAAGTAGTGTCTCTCATGGTATATTTTCACTCCGACCATTTCCATTTCAGTTTGTCAATGGTCTACTTTTGGAGGTTCACCTCCCTTCGTCCTAAATTACGGGGATTGATATTGTTGTAGAAGACTCCTATACAGAATTATTATACGCATATGACACAGTCCTGTTAATTGCAGACACTAACAAAATATATAGTTCTTTTAACACCGTGAGTGGCAACTTGAGAATGTTTAAGACGCGTTTCCCACCACCAAAACGCAAGTTGTTACCCGAAGAGTGATTTTCATTAATACCTTATCTAACGGTAGATAGTTTAGTGTTTGAACTAGTTACTTATAGACTTGGAAGTCGAATCAACCATGTAGGGTATCGGTAAGCGACGAAATTTCTGCGTGGATACCAAAGGCTCATTCGGCCTTGACCAACTTACGCCATTTGTGACACCACTATGATATCCGATTGCCTATTAAGGGACGAGTAAACTGCACTTACATTTCGCTTCATTTGACAATATAGTTATGAAACATGGCCATTAAAGGCTTCACATGTTCAACCAGTGTTTTACTCCATAGCATACGATGTGTTTCATAGTACCACCACGAAAGTCACTTCACAAGGTTGTGAATGATCATTGACTGAGGTGGATGAGACACGTGCTACGCATGTCCTAGTCGCTGTCTCCCCGTCGCACATTGTTAGCTGAAGTAGGTTCAGGTGGGACAAAAGGTGAGAAGCTACCAGACTAAAACATGGCCTCAGTTCATGAAGTCTGGCTGTTGTTGATCGAAGCTGTATTGATTAATGTAGATTTCTTGGTTGGTATCCACGGGACAACCGAAATCAATGTTTAGAGACTGTAGGTGATATAGCTCAGAATCGATCTCCGTGACGCAGATATATCCACACATTATTTTCATACCGGATTTCAGTATTCCTTCTTTCCTCTTTGCTGTCGTTTGATAACATTCTACCATTGCTTTCTTCGTCATTTCTTTATCTTTCGTCTTCATGCATTTTCGCGTAATACACTGTTATGGGGTTTGGCAACCTGGACCATTACACAGTAATACCATATCTCATGTTTGATATTGATTGACTGACTGACTAACTGTTATCAGTAATGTGTAGAGATCTTGAGAGATTTTCGTTTAGTGTTAGTTACTCATTCATGCACTTTGTGTTTTTTTTTCACCATAGGGGAATCAGATGACGTCTCATTCAGGTAAGAGTATGCTAATATCAGTTGATGGGTTTTGATAATTTTAATATATCCAAACTTATTATTGCATGAAATCCTTTTTATGATTATTGGAACCTACGGTTTAAGCAAACAAGTATTTGGGTAATATTTCATCATGTTTTACATTTACATCCATAAATCATTCAGCATAGTAGGTGTCGAATGCCATTGTGCCTAATCGATTTTAGTTGTACTGTGTTAATCTAGAGGATAAAAATATGAGTGATCATGACGATAACCAACATGCAGGAAGGTATATACGTTAGTTGGGTGGCGGTAATCAGCAGGAAACCCTTGGACCTAGGTTTCATGCTTTTGGGCACTGGTCGGCAGAGCGTATCTGCAACCTCTACGGAACTGATGTCCCGCCTAAGATTCCAACCTGCGTCACTCTTGGAAACCAGTCATTGCAGATGTATTCACTTTCTCAGCGAAAGTGGATGGACGTAAATATTCCAGTATATTATATTTCGTCTACAGTTTGGTAATTTATTTCTCTCTAAGGCTGGATGTTTGCCCTTTATTTATCCATCCACAACGACTGACTACTGAGGTTATGTAAGCTTTTGGATAGTTTGATTAAGGTTATTATTGCTCTCTAATTTGTGTATACGGATTCTACTAACCTTAGCGGTATCAGATGTCTGCTGAATAACGAGGAATTATTGAAGATAATTTCATTTCCCTTCATTTTTATCTGTTCGAGTTGTTAGTGTTCTGGCCGATAGCTGCTACTTTGACTTGGTCGTCAGGCTTGCATATCACAAAATGATCCAATGAGCTACACTGGCTGAATCGCTTATTCCTTTGAGGTCATACGATGCCAGCAGGATCTGTTGGATAGTGGTTAAAAGAAAAGCAGTTATCGTTGTGGTATAAGCTACTACACTATGATGGGGATCCGAAGGTAAAGTCGTACTGATGACTAGATGGAGTGTAACTGCATTAAGGTGTTTCCCTTGGATGACCAACAGTACCACGCTGATGTCGCCTCCCTAACGGAAGAGGATGGGGGTTAGAAAAGGTTGGCCCCAAAAATAACAGACTCACCATGCCTCGTGGTCTCCCGATGCTAGCAGTATTAGTTTTCTTCATCCGGTGTTAGAACAATCAAATCTCATACCAATAATCATCAAAAAGCTGTTTGATAGGCCTCAAGCAGGATGTCCCATGGGCTCTGTCGTCACACAACTTTTTTCGCTTCCAGGTACTTTAAGAAGAAATAACCTCCCATGATGTGGGCAGTTGCAAGTATCTACCGGGCGCATGCTTCCAGTAGTAATTTCTCATGTCTAGCAATAGGTATGGATGGTGAAATGAAGGTATATGGATCATAACTCTTGAAATTCTAGCCATCTCATTATAGGAATCATCGATGTGTAAACGTAGGATGATAAGAATGCAATAACGTTATTATAATTCAATTAATGCATTAACTAGTAAAAGAGAAGTTCTGTACTCCAAATATTTAGATTCCCATTGGTTTTTATTGTAGTTGGATTTGCTTTTAATAAGCAGCTAAATATTGTTTGAACTAAACTGAAGACAATATTGACCAGCCATGATATAGGTTCATCATTCATCGATAGTAGTATATGGTCGTTTAAAGGTAATCAATAACTATCCATGCTTCTTGACACGATTGAAGTTACACTTATTTTCCTGGTTCATAATACAGTTATTTCTGTGATTACATTCACTTAGGTGTTCCATATTTTATAAGTTTGACTACCTGAGATATCTGTTGTGTGGACGATACTTGCACTATTGATGCTAAGTGTTGATTGGAGGTGAAATGAAAAATTGGGTTGTGACAGGATTGGAACTAGCCAGAGGCCGATTGTTGATAACAAACTGAATGAAGTTATCCTCCGAGGTCATTTCTTAGTATAATTTCATATTCAAAGCTTAATGGGATATCCTGTAATTATCTGACCGTATACCATTTTTTCCCTCCTGTTCTGTTCTGAGAACGAATGTGACTTGTGCTTCTCTCACAGCTGACGAGGATCGGAAATAACAATCTAGTTGAATTGATCAGCTAAGGTGGCTTGGACATGTATTGCGGATACCGAGTCACCGCCTACCTCGACTTCCCATGCTAGGGGAAGATGGATTAAATTGAAAGAGGGCTCAAGGTAGCCAGACCAAGACTTTGCACCAGTCGATGAAGTCTCTTGCTGTTGGTCTGAACTGTGTTGGTAGATGTAGACTGGTAGGAGTCCCCGAGCCGAAAAAAATCACTGATTTACGACTGACTTGTCGACACGACGGAAAATTGGTCACAATGGTGACATCTTCTGAAGTTTCAATATTCGCAGTAACCGTTGTCTTCAGATTGTTTATTCTCTCTCACTACTTTGTCTAGTTTGATATTACTCCTTTTGTATCTATCTGTTCTTTGTGTACTACTGTGTAGTGTGGCGAATTAAACCAATGCACTTTTGTGTTAGGTTCTACGTTAATTTTGTTAGACGGTGAGTCATTATGTTTTGTACATAATAATGTTCTTAATAAAGGTAGCGACTAAGTCCATGCTATTTGGTGTTTTGTCGTTGTTACTTGCCGTCAGGATTCATTTCTTTACTTATCTGTCTGTTTAGAATTGACCGTCAATGATGAACTTCAACGTTTTCGAACAGCTTGCAATCTTCCCGTTTCAAATGGAAACAATTTATCCAGTGATCGCTCTAGACCACCGGTAGCCAATGGTGTTTCGTAAGTAACTTTTTCTACATGTATCTGAGAATATTAAACCTTTTTCAATGTAAGAATTTTGATAATCCTGAGGTTACTATGCATTTATTGGCATACTTTAAGTTTTTATGCGTTTTTTTCCCTTGACTTGTATTTTCGTGTGAAGCACACTTGTTGACTGCACTAAATCCTTATAATCTTTAGGCGTCGAATAATCCATATTGTGTATGTAGGAATGTCAACTCGAAATCAACTTTAATTTTTTCTTCTAGAACCAAGTATCAGGTATTATTTCTTTGATAAGTGTTGAGAATTTCCTTGACTGTTTAATTGTTGTGTAGATTTCTGATTACAAAAATGTTTGATTCCCTTCAATTGTATTTTGCACAAAAAGTATGATCATCGAAGTATTTCATGAGTAGCTTCATTTCTGACTGCTTGTACACTTTCAAATGTTACGTAACTTTCCATCATTGTAAAACCTACGCAGTAATAGATACAAGATAATATATTCTCATAGGGTTTCATGATATATCTCGTTGTAGATTGAATCGAATCTAACCTAGCAATTTCATGGTTAATTGCAATGTTTAATGACGCTATGCTTCCATGGTTTTGAAGTCTGACTTGTAATGTTAGGTCTGGAGCTAGATTTTAACACTGTTCGCCAGTCTGCTTGTCATTGCGTTAACAGTTGATATATTTCATTTGTAGTCATACATTCTGTTGAAACTTTTACGTAGTAAAATACTAGCTTTAAAGTGTGTATAGCGTCACATACTTCCTTACAATCAATAGCTTAGGGTTCAACGAGATTCAACATTGATGCTGACCTTCATACTTTTATCGGACTCGCTAAGCTGAAGGTACACGGTCAAGCATCCACTCCATTTGGCACGGTGTTGTGTTATGTTGCACTGCTCGTAATCGACCCTCTAACCAGCTAGTCGGAACGCATAGGTATTTTGGCACGACCTCGCAAATATATTATTCCATCCGACTACGCTATTGTGCTCTTCCATGGTCTCGTATTCGTAGAAACGAAAAGTTAGGATTGGCTTCTGTGCCTTTCAAGTTCGCACAAGGACAATTCTTAAATATGCATCTGATAAATGAATAAGTAAGTATCAAAGTTTGTGAGATGTTTGTTGTCTCATTGTATTGGTTGCAGGCATGAATCGCTGTCTCAAAAGAGGAGATATGAGTCTCTAACAGGAAGGTCAGAAATTCGGCTAATATGAATCTGGATCGGTCGATAACTTAACCTTCAACCACTCTCTTGTCTTCAATAGAATAGGCTTTAATTACTTTTATGTTAAGTTGTGGTTTAGGCAGGCAACTTTCACCCAATAGGGCATAAAATCAGCTTCTTTAACCAGTTTGTTTGTTTGCTGATGATACTAGTTCCGTTTGGCTCTTTGATTCAAGAGATCAGTTGTCACACATATGATGATCAGTTGGCGTACATTATGACATAGTTTCATCGAACAACGGGCCAACGAAGGAATCTTATTTTTTCACTGTATTTTATCATTACAAGATTTTTTGATGTATACCATTTATTATTTTCGCTTGTTTATTAACACAAAATTTCAGACCTAAAACTTCTTTTTTTTTTTTTTAGAAATAATACAAAAAATAAATCAGACACAAGGTCATCTCATATGCACAATCATATATCTGTTGCTGAACTAGAAGAACAATTACTTCAAGAGCATATATCTGTAAGTTTTCGATTCTTGGTTATTTTTTATGTCATTGAAATTTGAAACCTGATTTAAAAAAAGCCAACGAAAATCAACACCATATAACTTGGCATATGTTCTTGTCAGTTCGGGTCGCTTGAGTTGACATCATGACAGGGAACAAAAATATATATGAAAAGTAATTCGTGTCGTATGAAGAAAGATAAGGGGAACAAGGTAAATTATGGCGACAGAAGGCATTGGTGATACATACAATATATAGGTGAAGATATGACATACCTGTGTGTTTACACATTTCGGCGATTAACTTTTAACCAAATCATCTAAACTTTCCTGCCGTCTTCATCGATCTGTATAGTACTTTGTTTCGACTACTATTGTTTCTTTTTTGATATTTCACATATAATCCTCTTTCAGTTATTATCACGTATCGATATAATGTGTAGGTAGGTGTGTATAGCATATACTGAAATCACATAAGTCAATTGACGTCTACAGCCTCACTAATTAACTTGCCTTTACCTGACACTACGTCTTATCTTCGCGTTACTTACATAGCGATTCAACTACATACAGGGAATACTATAAAAGAACAATGGTGGTCGAATACCAGAATCTTGACGAGTTTCTTTTTATAGTATCCGAATTCTTTGTGAATTGCATTCCATTTGAAACATGATTTTGAATTAATTACCACACTTTTGCACCTCATAATGAAACGATTTCTGTAGAAATTTAGCCCTTTATGATCTCAAAGTCATCAATTAATATCACCACGGGACCCAGACATTACTGCACAACGGTCCAAGTTGCTACACCTCATATCAGCACAAGTAACAAAGCAGTAAGATGAGAGATGAGGAAAGAGAAAGAAATCAGTCAAAAGCAGTAGAAAGGAATTAGAGAGTGGAAGGGTGGATGAGAAAATCATGAATTCCAAATAGTGATTAGGATGAAGATTATGTATGGATATTATCTGCGCCACTAACGTCGGTTCTGAGGCATATGCCCTGCAGTCTCCAGTGACTAGTTCATGTTGTCATATGGACTCCAACTGGCTAGTCTGCATTAACCTACATGGCTCAAACCAAAAGTAAGGCACACCACACTTCTCTGCTACTCACGTGGTGACATCACAACACACAGCCTATGTCACAAAGCCAATCATCAAACAACTGAATCCTTCTCATGTATTCCACCTTTAATGGCCATGTTTCACAGCCACACAGTAGAACACAACGAACTTCAGCACAGGACACTCGATACTCAGTAGACAACCGAACATCTCAGCAATGCCATAAATGGATTGTGTTCGCGAAAGTCAATTGAACCTTTTGTATCCGCGCAGAGATTTCGTCGGCCATTGACCCACCACTACTGATCCGACTTCTCAGGTAAGTGAAGTATTCAATGGACTCAACCACTTCACTGTCGTCTATTGTTAGTCGGAGCAGCACTGAATACCAGTCCTGGAACAACAACTGGCACTCGAGTGGCGAGAAACACATCCCAAACATTCTGGAATTTCCACTGAAGGTGTTTAGAAGACTGTATCGTGTTAAGGTCTCTGCCTAAGAGAATTGTAGTAGTAGTTTATATTCCTTTTTATGATGCATTATTCGAAAATTGAGCCACATTTATGCTTCTCTACAGAATATCGTAGTGTGTTCGTGATGATTCCTAGAAGCTGTCAATGCTTTGTCAAGTGTATGAAGGTGAAGATCAAATCACTTACTTCATAATAGACATTAAGTTTCTTCTATCCATTCATTGATATGGATTTTAAATAACTTACTTCATTCTACCCTATTTTTACCCTCTTGGATCTAAGATCCTGCTAGATCGTTAATCATAAGAAATCTTATGCATTTGTATGGTTTCAACCTTCATATTTACATTTTTCATGTTCCAAGGTTCCTGAAGAATTGAAAACAGTGGTTCCGACTGATGATAGTTCTCCAGATGATCAGGGTTTATCACAAGCATCAGCTACAGAGTCTCCTACACGCCATCATCAAGTTCATAAAGATGTTTGCACTGATCGAAATCGTCGCCTACTCAGTGATGATGCTGGTTATGTTGATGATGTTGATGATGAAGAAGCGTGTGAAAACAATCGGGATCGTGGTTTACCTAAGTCCTTTGGATTAGGTCAACGTAAACAACGACGGCATATGCGTTATCAGCAAGACAATTTATCAGATGAAGTACATTCACCATCTAATCGATCAGTAAATCGAAATAAATCTACAGATATCTCTCAAAAATATAATAATACTGTAGGCGAGGAAACACTTGTTACTCCTGATATGCTAACTAGTATTCCGTCATCAATCTTACCAGCATTCGTCCCGGAAGTTTCTCGTGATAAACATTCAGAAGACAAAGTTTTCACTTCAGAAGTGAAGAAAACAGTAGTGAGTGAATATCTCACAAAAGATCAACTGAAGGAAACGCTTATCCACCTTTTACAAGTAAGTTGTTCTCATTTTATTGGTACTTGTAATTTCCTGTTGTTATGCAGGACTAAATTGTTCGACCTCTGCTGTTCTCAGATAGACTCCGATTCGGATGCCTTGATACCGCCGGATATTCGTGATGTTATATTAATCTTGGCGACTAGCAAGGGAATTCAGGACGCGCGTTTCGTCCCGTCTAGGACTCGTCGGTTAGCTGTACCTTCACCTCAGTGATTGATGTTGTTCCCACTGAGGCTCGAACCCACTATAACAACTGATACCGTTGCACACTAGGCGGCTATCATGTCCCAGTGGCTTAGTGGATAACGCTCTGGCGTTTGAAGCGAAGGGTGCTGGGTTTGAGTCTCAGTGGGAACAATATAACTCTGCACTGGGGTGTAGGTACATGCAGCTGACGAATCTCAAATAGCGCGAAACGTGCGTCCTGGATTCCCCTACTATTCACCAAGATCATCATAGGCTGTTCTTAGTCTTCGAAATCAAATTTTATGTAACTGTGATTCCTCATTCTGGGCACTTGAGTTTCCACCACCGTAGTTTATCACATACACTTGCATTTTCTCACGTTGACACTAGATTCTCCTACTTTCGTCAATCATTTTTTGTAGACCTATAGCATTTAAAAGTTGTTTCCGGAAATTTACAAAGTGCAAAGTGTTTTCGTGGAATTATACTCTTAATATCTATAATCTATCCCGATATTTTTCTTAACATTTATATTCCAACGGAGTTCACATCCTACAAAATGCTTCATGTTCTAATTGCTCTATACGTTGTTTCATCATCCATGAAGCAGGTGTTTGAAAGATAATTATTTCCATAAGTTAACCGGTCATCTGAATCCCTAGACATAATAGGTTTAGATTCTTGTCTATCTTGAAACCAGGGTGTTGAAACAAATGGGCGAAAAAAAATCACATTTATCACCGTGTTAATAGAAACTAAGTTTGGAGTATTTTGGACCATTGAAGTTGTGAAATGTTTTGCAACTGAAAGATCTGATACTACTGGGAATGCTTGTTCACATGCACAATAGAAGGTCAGAAATGTTTACTGGTTAGGTGACAGGGAGTAATGCATGGTAAAATGGTCCATCGGTTAAATTCCTGGTATTTCTCTGTGGACTTGTCGCGCTCATTGGCTTAAACACTCGACTTTTAATCAGCGGGTTGCTGGTTCAAAACTGGCTCCACCTATGAAGGTCTGGTTAATCAATTAATACCATTGACCTTCCATTTATTTTTTCTTAAGCTTATTGCGTATTGCGCAAGCCTGACTATAATTGCTCGGTTGCATTTCGAATTGTTTCCAATTTTTTAAACAGTTTAAGAGAAGAAAGCCAACAAGCAATGTTCATTCTCCATTCATTTTTGACGTGAACCGTCAGTGCTACATTTGATTTTGTCTTTGTTTAAGACACTGTTTTGACTCGGTAGTCTATTAGAGGACATTAGTATTTGATTTGACGAATGCGTTAAACTTGAATTCCAATGGCAACATCATTGTTCGCTGAGTTCCAGGCATATCTAATTGAAAGTTCTCAAATGGGGAAATATACGTCTTGCATTCCATCAGTGAACAAATATCTCTCAGGTGAGACTGATGTCATTATCGAGGAGCCATACAATGGTGATTACTAGTCGGGGTTACTGATTTTGGTTCAGTAAATTGAACATCAGAAAACATGTATGCAGTCGATTTTGCCCTCATTGAATAAAATTATTTAAGTAAACAGAATATTTTGCTGAAGAAACTGTGGTATACCCAACGAAAAGTTCAGAAAGATATTTTTTCTAATTTTCTAAACACTGGTATTATATTATCTATTACTTATGTAATGTTTAAATCAAACTCGGCTCTCAAATTCTTCCAAGACATTCGTAGCGGCTATACATTGGATGCTTAGAATATTGAGTAAAACTGTCTATGTCCTTGCGTTCTTATGACAACTATAGGGAATTAGTTTGACTAATATTGTGTCCAAGATCCTAGGAGTCATAGTTATCCGACGCCTAACTGGTGCTCGAGAATACTAGGCAGGTTTCAAAACTCAACGAGGGTGCATCGATCATATTTTCACCTTATAACAGGTTCTGGAACACAGGCATATTTGCCGGACAGTCCCTGATACTTGCCATATTTGTTGACATGAAGGCGGCATTTGACTCTGACCGTGAGGTGTTGTGGAAGTGTCTGTCTGTGAAGAGAGTACGAAGCACGTATATAATGCTAATCAAAGCCCTCTACCTGAACTCATGCATCTGTGTCAAGGCTTATGAAAAGTTGTCATCAGAATTGACGACAAGTGGTGGTGTTCGCGAGGGATATCCATTGTGATGGTTCCTATTTAACTTCATCGAAGACATGCTAATGGATATAACTCTATGCACATCTAGCTTCACAAGGAATGACCTACTCCTTGGAGGTCGTATAGTTGAGTTGGAGTATACAGACGATATTGTCTTGTTAGGTGAAGACAGTGACAAACTGCAGGGTCTTGTGAACGCGTTGGGGGGAAATCGGAGTATGTTTGGCATGCGTTTCTCTTGCACCTGCCAAATCTAAGCTAATGCTGCAGGACTGGTCTGTCGCAAGTACTCTGACTTAAATGATCGGAAGTGAAGTGGTGGAATGTGTCGATCACTTCACCTACTTGGGGGTGTTACATTAGCTCGAACGGGCTGGTTGCTGATAAAATTTCATCTCGGGCAGAGAAAGCCCGTTTGGCACTTTCCAACTTGCATCATCTGTGTCGCCGACTGGCGAGGTATCCGCTTATCAACCCAAAGACGAGCATACTGAGCTGCAATTCGTTCTGTCCTGTTGGGCGGCTGTGAGACATGGGCGCTAAAATGAGAAGACATGAAACGATTAGTCGGTTTTGAACATAGACGTCTTCCTAGCATTGTTCGGGTGTGGTGGAATCACAGTGTGAACAGTTTTGAGGTCAGCCTAAGGTGACCAGGCAAGAAAGGTAATTCATGTTGATTTTTTCAGTATGTCCCAGTGCTTTTTGTAAAGATCTTGGTTAATTTCCACAGAGTACCCTTTTTTCGATTTACATTAACGAGTATTGTATCGTGATCGCTTTCCTTTTTTTAATTGAAAATTATTGACTTGTTGGATTAGGAAATCGTATTTTGACCAGCCAATCACAAGTTTGAATGTTAATTCACATACTGAGGTTTTGACTAACATATGGTGTCAACGAGCCCTTATTCGAATGTTGTTAACTTGTTCTAAGTACATTCATTTGTACATAATTACTGAGCTTGATATTGTTGAATTGTGTTAGTAGTTCACACTTTGGATGTTATATACATTAATAATGTGGGGCTTTGGTATAGTAGTTTAGGTAGATGACTAATAACCAATGGGCCACGGTTTCGAATCCCGCTCCACCTACCGTGGTTTGGGTAGCCAGCTAGCGTCACTAGCCACTAACACAATGGGTGTGACTCACTGCCTACTGCTCGGATGTAAACATGGTTGCTGAGCGCGTTACGCGCATACTAGACTCCACTGCTATCCCATCATTATTATCTTTTACGTTTAGCTACTGAACTGATCCTACTTTCATGCATCCGTATACTAGTAGAATACTTATTTGACCGTTTTCTTCAGTGGATTTTATTCATCACAATTGGAAGGGTTTAACTGTTGTAAACTGGACAGATTATTTAGCTAACTTGTGTAACATCTCGAAAAAGAACCGTTTTCAACTGTAAGGTGTAAATTGTAAACATTTTAGATTAACAGTATCAACTTCAGTAATTACTTTCATATTGAAGTGAATAATAATAGTTGTTTCTACTTATCTTTTCATTTTTATCCGTAACTCTACAGACAGATGATGGTTTCGTTCACCGTATTCATACCGGTTATGTTAATGTGTTAGAGAGAAGATTATCGAGGAAGTAGCAATATGCAAATTTCTTTTCTCTTCACCTGGTCACTTTCCCTTAGACTTAATGAGTAGTAACCTTATCAATTGGAGAAAATTATGAGGTACTTTGATAATTTAATCAACTTTCTACCTTGCTTAAATTAAACATTGTTATTTACTCGATTTCCTCTAACTAAATAGTCTTCTTGATTGATATTAAACGACAGTGGTAATGATGCTTGGTTATATTTTTTTGTTGTCTATGCGTATTGTTAACTGTTCTCTCTTGTTATGGCAGCAATACTTGTCTTATGCATACACAACTGGTTTTAAGCATTTATATTAATTAAATAGTTCTTGTGTCTTATGACTAAACAGAGATCTGGTGTTATTATTATTATTCATACTATATTGTGTATACATCCTGTTATCATTGTGAACAGATGGATTTTCTTGATTCCTTCTATGGTTGCGCCTTTCTTCATTTAGTTCACTTCCGGTATATTTATGTATAGGTATTCTGTTGAGTATATTTTTTTCAATGTTGTATCATACTTGCTGCTGCCACTGTGTGTATGCTCGCCTTTACCCTTCTTAAAACAATATTTATTGTCTGTTTTCAATAGTTTGATAGAAAAGAAATGAAATTCTTTACGACGTGTATTACATTTAATCATGTTGGATTTCATCATTCCTTAAATATAATGTACATGCTGTTGTTCAGATGTTTCCTAGTCAGTCTATGGTTTACTACTTAGATACTCAACTTTACATCGGTGTTAATACCACTCCACCTACTGTGATTAAAGTAGACAGATAATGTGATTAATCCTCAACATGCCTCAAGATAGTCCCCTAACACTTTCTTAAGTTGTCAAAGCTGTAGGTAATCTGAAACGAGGAAGAGCAGTAAGACCAAACGGACTAGTTCCAGAGGTATTTAAGGACCACTATAGAAACGTTTTGGTCGAATTGATGGGAGTGTTAACTAGTTGATAGGGAGTCAGATATGTTCTCCTCTGAACTGGTCTCCATCCCTGATTGTCCAAATCTTAAAGAGAGGTGAGAAATCCTCGCTGTTATTACCTTAGAGAATCAACCTGTCTAAGGTTCTAGGTCCTACAATTATTAGATGTCTGAATGGGACACAGGAATAGCAAATGCGAAAAAGCCAGGTGACAGGCTTCGGAACTGCTCGTGGGTGTGTCTGTCAGATATTCACACTCCACCAGGTTCTCTTGAACACAGACACAGTTACTAACACCTGACACTGGCCTTATTTTTGACTTAAAGGCGTCAATCGGGGGGTCTTATGGTGGTATCTCTTGCTGTAACGGGTGCTGGGTAAGTACATCACTCTATTGAAAGCTCTGTACTTGAAGATGCATGGGCGTATGAGAGCCTATGGTGTTTTCAGGTGAGTTGTCTGCATAGGTTGGTGTCCGTCAAAGATGCTCATTCTCTCCGTTCCTATTCAACTTTATCTTAGATGTACTGACAGGACTCCATCTCCTTGTGTGATGTCACAGGGGATTGGTCTCATGACAGAAAAATTTGGTTGATCTACTCAGATGACAATTCTCGTAGGCAGAGACCTTAACACGATACAGTCTTCTAAACACCTTCAGTGGAAATTCCAGAATGTTTGGGATGTGTTTCTCGCCACTCGAGTGCCAGTTGTTGTTCCAGGACTGGTATTCAGTGCTGCTCCGACTAACAATAGACGACAGTGAAGTGGTTGAGTCCATTGAATACTTCACTTACCTGAGAAGTCGGATCAGTAGTGGTGGGTCAATGGCCGACGAAATCTCTGCGCGGATACAAAAGGTTCAATTGACTTTCGCGAACACAATCCATTTATGGCATTGCTGAGATGTTCGATTGTCTACTGAGTATCGAGTGTCCTGTGCTGAAGTTCGTTGTGTTCTACTGTGTGGCTGTGAAACATGGCCATTAAAGGTGGAATACATGAGAAGGATTCAGTTGTTTGATGATTGGCTTTGTGACATAGGCTGTGTGTTGTGATGTCACCACGTGAGTAGCAGAGAAGTGTGGTGTAGAGTTTTAGGGAGGAGAGGTGAGTTAGTTGATGCGTTTGTGAGCCTTAATCGAATAAGAGAGCTGGAACGTGTGTTACGTATGTCTCATCGTACAATGTTGGCTGAATTATGTTCAGGCTAGGGGTGGACAAACTAGAGCATGGCATCACTGCATAAAGTCTATGACTGTTGATTTAAGGCATGTTAGGGGATGGATACTAGCCAGTCGGGATCTACGTGACGATAGAAACCGGTGGTTGAAGACTCTAGGTGATGTGGCTCAGAATTGATGTTCGCGTCGCAGATACATCCACACATTATTTTCATTCTAAGCATCGTAGTGGATTCAGCATTTTCTCATTCTTCCTTGCTCTCTTCAGCTGCTTTCGAACGAATCTCCTCGATTTCTTTACTTTTCATCATATTGAGTTGTTGTTTAACACGCTGATGTAACTTTTGGCAACTTAGGCCGTTACGCAGCAATACCTGTTCATATGTTGATACTGATGATGACGACGGTAGCGTACATAGCGATATATGACTCCTGGGTTTTTACTAAATAGAATTATTAAGTGATTTTGTATGTCTGTCTTAAATTAAGAACCAAGTGAAGTCAGCAGTCTGATAATCGGAGTGTGGAAATGAAACACTAGATTACTTTGCGTAGTACAGAGATAAATACTGTCCAGGCAAAGTAGTTTTTCTTTTAAAAGACTAAGACAAATCAACTCTCAAGAGTAAAATAGCCTGCGTAATAATGTGTGGAATTCGGACAGTCTGTGAAATCTATTTTTGAATAATAAATATGGATAGTGGCTAGCCGTGGAATGCAGGATGCGAATGAAAATAAGTATCTATGAGTGGACCGAGGGAAACAGAGTAAAAGCAATGGATGTGCGGTTAGGGTGTAAACGTTTTGATAGAAATGTTTGAAGAGAGTTTGCTAGGCTAGGCCCAATGAATCCACATATTTTTTGTGAACGCGTATGTGAGGTCTTCGCCCATTGATGCCTACAGCTCCTGGCATAGATTGTAGAAGTAGTAGAGCCACTTCTGGTGGATTTCAAGGAACACTATACATCACAGTAAAGACCTGATGTAACTTGATTCGATGTCTACTGAATACATTAGAACTACACTGTTTGTGTCTTTCGTTTCCCTAACCAAGCTGGTTTCTGTTCATGAGCACATAGGAGTAAATTCGTCTGAGTATGGCCTCTGCAATTAGGTTCAGTTGAGCTCATAAGTGCATATCAATAAAATATACCCCTGACTCGCTCTGTCAATAGTGGTTCGGTTGAAAATATAATGTGAAGTTTAGCTTCGGTGAATATTCATTTGACAGATCTACTCAATCGACATGCTATGATACCTAAAACCATGTCATCTTTGAGACTTAATCAAAAATAGGAATGTTTCTTAGCAGCGTAATCCTACTAAATAAATTTCAGTGGGTAATTATTTTACTACAACGTTTCCTTCAGGTCATCTACTTCTTACTCCACACGGTAGTACTAATGTTTACTTCCTAATCTGTAGGTAAAATATTTGACTATTTCATTTTTACTGAATTGGCGTGAAGTTATGGGAATGAAGATATCGACTAATTGATGTATGGTTTCCTCTGGATAAACATGTACCCGTCTTCTTGGTGAGGAGTATATCTAGGTACGATATACTGTCCTTCCCACACAGATGGACTTTATAGCTGTGGGGGCATAGTTGATAGTATTCATAAGTTCTTATTTGTTAAAGGCTTTGTCTGAATCGATGAGGACGTCATCTGCATACCAACAGTAATACTTTTGTTCAATGGGTGTCCCTATGTAGGCCGATTTGACGTTTCACCAAGAAGATATCAGCTATCATAGGACTCCGAAGAAATGGTATGAAGACTCTGTCCACTTGACTGTAAAGGTCATCATGAAGCCTATATTAGAACATTCTTTGTGGTATGTAAGAGTAACCGCTTTACTTCTTCAGGTGGGATTCCTACATCTGCCTCTAATTCTTGTTTTGTCGGGCAAGCAGTTGACTACTACAGCAAACGTGGCACTATTAAATAAGGGTGTTGTATTTCTTGACATCATCATTTTGCCCCTAACACTATCATGTTCTGCATGGCTGAATTCATCCTTCACAGTGAACCTCCCCTATTCACGATGAAAAGACTCTAACCGCGACTAACCATTTCTCATTTGAATGATATTCAGGAAATGGGAGATTCTTTAATTCATGGCTTTTGAACTCCTAGTCAATTTGACTTTTGAGATATTTGCCACAGTTGGTTTAGTAGGATTTGCTGATGACTCTGTTTACCTCGGCATACACTGCAGAAATGCGAGGATAGCATAATTATATTTGAGATATATCACTGCCATCACTTGCATTGAGCTTCTGACATATTGTGAAACCACCACCGCCTACGCTCGCTCGGTACTGAAGATCAGGTGGCCAGAATAGTAAGAATAAGCAACAAGGAACTCTGACCTGCCAAGAACCTATCGCCTAACAAATCTGCAGAAGGAAGTTAAGATGGATTGGGCATACACTGAGAAGACCATATGGGGACATCACGCGCCATGCCAGGCCGTCAAGTGGAGCCCAAATGGGAAACGACAAGTTGGGCGTCCGAGGCGAGGGCGACATGGAGAATATCATGTGGGGAAGGAATGAAAGATTCTAGGCAGTCGTGGGGCCAGGTTGAAGAGACGTCAGAGAAGAGAATGAAATGGCGACATGGTACTGAAGCCTTGTTCCACTAGGAATCCAAAGGGCAAAAATAATATAATAATAAAAATGGCAGGCAGAGTAATATGGCTTAGAGAAGATAATATGAAGGTCCATCGCTTCGAGATGGTAGATGAATTTCCACTTACATGAGAAATGACCTCTTCAGTTTTACGTCTAGCACAACCAAATTGTTTTCTAAGTGGTCATCTTGTCCACTAGTAATGGCTTTTGTTAGCTCTACCCGCCTTTGTGTCACGTAACATTCTGATCTTGGTTGGCCTGATAAGTTTCACGAGAAACTGTGTTGGCATCATAATTATGTACTGAAGAAACCACCTACCTGCAAGAAATATTGATGTAAACCGCAGATTTTATACATAATGTACAATTTTTGTTGAACAATGCTCATAACCTTGATTAAATGTACGAGTAGACTATTGAAAATTATTCAAATGGTCATTCGTAACGAAGTGGAACGAACTCAGTTGTCTTGTGCACATCTGTGCAGTAGACAATGAAGCATACCTATTGTGTGAGGTCTAGTGATACTGCCTGGCTGCGCAAATCTTGAGGCTCTAACTCGTGACCTACTGGTTGGTAGCCCTCTCGTGAACCGCTGAGTCACAGTTTTATATTTATGGTGGTGGATGAGTCTATAAGCACTGTAATTTTTGTAGTAACCGAAGTAAAATGCTTGTATGAATCAATATGTGTTCGTATGATTAACTTGTTGATTGTTGTGTCTTCAAAATCGATTTCTGAGCTAACATTCACCTATGGTGTTCACTAGATATAGTAATTCAAGATGACATCGGAAGAAGAACATTTGTAAGTGTGCACCTTTTATTTCAGGTGGTCCCAATAGTCCAGTAGCAGTCTCCACAAACCAGTTTGAAGCAGGCAGATCATATTGGAATTTATTATGTAACGACTTCAAGCCTAACTTAGGGAATAATCTAACTGCAGACTTTACGTTCTATTTTTAGTTTCGGTGGCATTTCAGTGAACATTTTTCAGCATTAGGATGTGAAGTAATTTTTTCATGATATCCACTTATACGTGAAATATACCGATAATGACTTAAAGGAAGAATAAGTATTTCAGCGAAAAGTCTCTTTTCGGCGATTTCATTTTCAAAGCTGTACAATATCAAATCTATACACTTTTTCCTAGTGT